ATCTATCATTAACCAGGAAGCCTAAAAACCCACATATTATAAGCCTTTTGAAACCATTTAGAGAAGATTATTAGAGGTATTAAATTGTCGTAGTTAAAATACATACCAGCATTGGTAAAGCCACGATCAAACCTGTCTTCTGCCTTCCAAAAACACTCAACAACCAACCAACTAGTACTGTGCCAGCCATAGCTCCCAAAGAAGGCAGACTCCCTACTAAGGAGCTTTCAATTTCAGTCATAGGAGCGTTCAGATATTCTGTGTCAGTTTTCGTGAAATGTACAATAGTGTATGAAGGCCACACGTACAACAAGCCAGTCAGCATATTCCCTAAACTACCTGTTCAGAAAAGAATTTAATAAAAAACATGTCAGTTTTTTTTGAACTACCAGTTAATAAAATTTATTGCATAGTCTTAAATAGAGATTACATTACATCATACAAAATCAATAATTATTTTCACTGAAATCTTTCTTGTCATGTTTTTTTGTCAACAACATTACAACAACTAAGTAATTAGCTATTTCATTATAAAGTCATTAATTAAAAATCTCATTTAACTCGTGATAAACTGATAAAATGCACAGTTATAATACTGTTATGTACAAACTCCTTAAAATATAATGAGTCTAAGTTTCCCAAACAAAAAATAGTCGACTCATAACTGAATAATAATAATAAATATTTTATTATTATTATTAATAATTTTATTCCACATTAGATCAACTTCAGGGTTCACTGTCAATTATTTTAAATTTTGTTTATATGTATCTAAATCTGTATTTTATAAACCAAACTTATTTCGTAAAATAACTTGTATAACAATTATATAACCCGTAATAACATTTCTATTAAATACACTTTTATGTATAACTATAACGAACCTTCCGTTAGACTTAAGCTGAGCTTTGCATTTGTGTGAGTGAAAGTAAAAATAGAGTTAGACAAAAAACTTTTAGAATTAAATATTATTATATTTTGAAATAGATACATAACATAAGCACTGGAGCTATTCTAGATTAAAAATAAAATAAGCAAGAGTTCTAAAAGGTCAGATGGAAATATTATGGAAAAGAAATTATTAATTAATAAATTTTGAAAAAAAATATCACATTTTTCTTCACTCGACATTGCGTTTTCAACATTTGATTTTGCTACCAATACAAAGGGTGAAGTAAGGAAGGTGCGGGGCGGAGTAAAAGCAGAATAAACCGGTTCAAAACTAGAAAAGAACATTACATTCAAAAATTTGACATCACACCTACACTATCCGTGTGCACTCACAAAAATGCAAAGCTCAGCTTAAATCAAACGCACTATATCAATATTTTAAAATCTTTAAAAGATTTTTTTAAAGAACATATTTATCATACTTACAAGTTAGGCTCGTATGAGCTTGATGTATCTTTCCCATGATCAAAACAGTTTTTCTAACCACTTCTTGCTTTGACACAATCACTGCCTCATACTGATCTATTTCTGAGATGAAACATTTTGAATCTAATCAAATAACAGGATTAATTTGTTTATAAAATGATAAACTGACTTCTCGGTAGAAGATATTATGCAAACTATTTTTCAATAGTTAAGACAAGATTTATCTGATGGCCTTAGGAATTCACTTTTATCAATAGCTGATATTAAAATATAGTCTATACACAAGTTTTTATCTTATATACGATTGATGCACTATGCTGTACCATTTGTACCACAATAACTATTCAAATAATATGTTGCGAACATCACAATTATAATGAAAATATTAGAAGTTTCAGCAAAACACTTATCATAATTGGAAAACCGACTTTAAATTCTTTTCATCATCATTGAATAACACAGTCACTCCACTAACGTCAACGTTTGAAGATAAAGTATTGCAGAATGTTTTTTAACGCTTTTATTAATAAATTCAATGTGTAAATATTTCGATAACCATGCAAATATTAAAGGAAAAGTAAGTTAATTATTGCTTAGAAATTATACAAAAAATGTATCCAACTTTAGACTGAATAAATTTAAATTATCTTTTAATTTCTAACTGATGCATTATGTTATATTGTATAAGAGACAAGGCCACTTAGCATTCAATGGATTCATCGTGCGGGTGTCGGGTCCATCGTTACAGGGAGAGGAGCTTCAACAGTGTCTGGGACTTGCGACCCAGGTTTAGATTTAAGGAGGCCCAAACTAACCCGGTAAACGGTCACATATTTTAAATATAAATCAAAAATTAAAATACATTTCTTATCATTTTCCTTATTTATTTTAGACCGACTACAAGTAAATATTATTTTTCTAAACATAAATACGTGTTTTCTTACGTTTAAATGTCCTGTTATGTTTGAACTTTTATGCGTAAAAATCTGAAAACGCTGCGTAATGATGAATAGCTACATGTGTATATTTAGTTAATAAACTTCTACATCAAGACTTACTACTGTTTGTTGAACTTACTACTGTTTGTTAAACCTTTAAAGCGTGAGCACATCAGTAATTAGTCTAGCATACACCTTTTAGTCATTGTCATAGTCTTAGACTTTATATAATGAATCTAATTATAACAGGGATACTCATATCAATTACAAGATATTGAAGTTCTAAAAGTAATCCTACTCGTAATGGTTTTAAACTTTTATTTTTGGTACGACAGATATCTTGCTAAGACGGTCGGTTTGGTGGAATTATTACACATCTTGTTACTTTCTTATAATACAATAACTGTTACATCTTCCTTAACGTACTTATTTTGTAAACATATTGATTTCAGCTTCAATCTCAGGTCGTGGTACTCGATCATTCGTGAAAATATATTTTTTGTAAAAACAAAAATTACAATATAATAATAATAAACTTTATTGCTTCAGATAGGTCGTACATTAAAAAGTAACTTTTAAGAAAAACATACATATTTTTATGAGATACAAATTATTCATACTGGCAAACATTTTCTTTTTATTTACCACTCGTTTTCATTGACGACCATATCGCAATTGGTTACAAGCTCAGCTATGTGCTGTGCTATGCCCAGTGTTGATTTTCAGTTTGCTCCTTCTACATTATGTTGACTTAGTTAAAATATAACTATTACTAACCAATAGACATTGAGAATTTATGATGCAATACATAATTGATATCTCACAGTTGATACTTCAGTTGGTTAGTTAGATCATCGGCACTGTTCGCTTAGGTCGTAGGTTCAAACCCCAGCCGGTATCAGTAATTTTTTTGAATTTTTCATGAAATGTTTGGACATTTATTTATTTGGTTGGTTTTTATGTTAATTCAAGCTAAAAGTATAACTTATCTGTTCGGGTTCTAATATCTCAACATCATTTTACATGTCAATTCAAATAACTTTCCATTAATAAGTAATAAAAATATTAACAACATCTTGAATACAAATCGATACCTCCCACGTAAGTTGTTGTAAGCCACAAAAATGCTATTTTGCTTTTTTTTCTAAAAAATATCCTAGTATGGATCATTACATCCATTCAAATTAATAAAACAAAAAAACACTATTTTTAAAGGATTTGTGAGACGCATAATGTTGTAATTTTCAAATGCGAACGGATAAAACTGATGTATATATGCCTATGCAGCTGTATACGCGGGGCGCTAGGTGGGTAAAAACACGCGCCCGCGCCGCGTATTGGTTACGTACAAAGAGAAAGACTTATGTTTTTCAACTTACACAGTTGTAACTATCATATACCACAAGTGATGCTATCTGGGCGCCGCGGTAGAATGTTCTAAGTATCAGATACAACACCTTTTTTAGCTTCTACGACGGAGTAAAATGTTGTATGAACAATATAACAACAATATCTCCGCAAATAGGCATATTACTTAAAATTTCTTTTAACGTATTTAAGAAGACTATTATGTTAAATTTAATTACGAAATTTTAAAAAGATGCAACAATAAATTCAGATTTTGGTTTAATTTGAATCTTTGAGACGCTGTACTGTAAAATTACAGTTTTGAAGATACAACAACTTACGTGGGAGGTATCGAAATAAAAATTAACAAAAAAAACAATAGTATGAGAAAGGCTAAGAATAGAAAAAATTAAATATTGAGGACAAAAGATTTAACTAGTTGGATTTGAAATAAATTGTGCTTAACCCATTTTATGTAGTTTATTATTTGGATTTGTTTTAAATTGATATTATGTATAAGTTCAATTATATTTTTAGAACTAGCTGTTGTCTGTGGCATGTCATGAATGTTCAAGCGTTATCAGCCTTAAGAAGTTTCAAAAAATTGCTGACGACCTCTTCGTCAGATCTCAACTTGGTGTCACGGGCACTATTTCAGAACAAAGCTCTTTCGATTAAGAAACTAATTTTTAAAACGTACTGAAATTGAAAAAAAAATGCTTTATAAAAATATTGTCTTTCACTATGACACCACTTCCACCACTTTGAAGTAGCTAAAGAGTAGCCTAAATTACTCCTTATAATATTACTTACCTGGAACTTAAATTCCTCTCCAAAACGGTACACCCATTCTATAACATATCCGGGACAACAAGACACACAGATGGACAATTCAAAAATTGTTTGTTTGAAGTACTTATCGTGTGTGCCTATGCGTTTAATGAAAAACTTTTATTTACAAATTCAAGCAGTATGCAACGTTAGGAGTTGATTAACAAGATGGGTCATAATGTATTGTATTTAAACTTTGGCAATATGTGTGAGGAACAACTATGATAGCATGATATAGCTCTTAAGATTTACGTTCCGAATTAATACTCATAAACACTAATTATGAACCACCATTTAAACTTCATTGTATTATATGATAAAAAAATACAACTTTTTATGATAACAGCATTTACTCTTATATCGAAGGAGTCTTAATAAGAAATTAAAATAACTTACAAAATAAATAACTTTATCAATATATAAGAAAACAAAATAATGCTTATAAAATAACTTATGAGTGACTAAGCAGTAAGCATATTGTAACTTATATACAAAACAGTATTTAATTCATTTCAGTGGCCGGTAAAGCAATACTTTTTGAATCTGATCGATGGTCAGTCCCTTAGTCTCTGGTACTACGAAGATAGCAACGAGACAATCAAACAATGCGAACAACGCAAAACTATAGAAGGCGCCGTGGACTCCGAGAAACTTGATCATAAATGGAAAAACTCCAACCAGCAGGAAATTTAAAAGCCATACCCATTCCATGAGAATCATAGAAGCGACGCTTTGAACCTGGAACAAAAATAATAAATTACTCCTAATAATTACTTCATATACCACAAATTATGTGTTATTTTAAACGTATGCTGGTTTTGTATATGTTAAATTTCTCTGGATTTGAGCTGATTTTACTCAAATTCATTATTTGCAAAGATTAACACACCCATTCAAACGTATCATCATAAATCACGCATCTGATACCTTGAGAATATACGTCCGTAATCAGTGATAAATAAATTCTCATGTGATATTTAAATATAGCTTTGACATTGCATCATTACAATGTCATTACCAGGATAATAATGAACTATTTATTTGTCGATTACTAAATCAAATATTTAGTTATCATTAATATCAACGAAATAAATTATAAGATACATTATTATATTTTATCTGACATTTATATGATAACAGAATCAAAGTTTATCTTAATAGTTGTCAGCTATAAGCCTTTCAATTATTTATTACTTTATGGTATTTTTAGATTTTACGTATGCATTTGTTTAGGGAAAAATGTATTCAATATTAAATACTCGCTTTAAAGGGACGCATTCTATCAACGAATTTGTTTTTACTCAATAAAGCAATGATCTGCTATTAGAATTTATATAATATTTTTTTACTACACCTCTGATGTAAACATCTCAGCCAACATAACGTAAGGCACGGAACCAGCACCGCTCATGAAGGAAAAACAAAAGAATAATATCATTAAAGCTGTCACCCACGCTGGAGCAATACTGGTCTGAATAAAGAAACCCAAACCCACGAGGCATACACCGGTTGCAATGGACGATGAGATCAACGGAATCTGAAAATACACAGAATCTTACATTAAATCTTGACCTTAACTAACAGAATTATTTGAATTAAAGATATATAATATACCTTTCTACCGAATTTGTCCAGAAGTAATCCATTAATAAGGCTGCCAAGCAGAAGAGTGGATGCAAACATAACGGAGCAAAAATGTGAAGACAGATTAGGAGCGGCGTGAGTGAAGATATCCTTAGCGTACACTTGCACAGCTATCATACCCATCATAACCTATGGATAAAGCAGAGATTTTTGATTATGTTGGAGCGAAGAGAGTATTAACGTAGAATGATCTTATAAGCTAACACGTGGTCTAAAAATAATCTAAAATTATCATAGCAGAGCGTCGTTTCGATCTACGGACCTCTGTATATAACATTCACAATATCTTTTCAGTGCCACAAAAACTAAATATATAAAAACATTACTCCTACTATAAGGGTTTCTAGTGAGATCTAAGACTTCCGCGAGTATTCATTTAAATGAAACTAGTATTTTTCGGATATACTACGCGTGCTTTACGCGTGCTCCCGACGTTTCGGCTACTTTTCATCAATCATGATCACGGGCAGACGAGATGAGAATGTCAGTCAGTTGGTCTTGTTATTTATCATCTACCGCCGCGTTTTATTAATTTTCTGGCCTATTCATCTAGAGCGGTACCGGAGTAATCGAAACATCGGGTGTATTTAGTTTTATACAAAAATAAAACACGCGTGCTTCATCCGAAAAATACTGATTTCATTAATAAGGATTACCGTTACTATTATTGTATGACATGTTGTAATGATAAAAATAGTTTCTCTAAGTTTCGACTTGTATATATTAATCACCTGCAGTTTTGTAATAGCATATTTTACATTTTAAAAGCTAAATTAATATTCCTTATAAATGACTTCTACTTTTCTAAATCAGTATATACCTCGTATCAGTCATCACCTATCCTCAACTCAGTCATCACTAAAGACCTTTAAGACCAGAATTTTATAACGACATAATTTTTAAACTTACTTGTAAAGATAGTATGAGGAAAACTGTAGTAAAGGCGCGTCGGGATGCTGGCGAAACAACTGAACAAAACATAATAACTTATTATTGATAAAAATCATCATTGAAATCCTAATAGTTTATAAAAAGACTTACATAACATTTTCATTGGTGACATTTTATCCTTCGTTTGTTGCTCCACGTCATTGATTTCAGAGTTAAGTTTTTGTTTTTCACTTTGATCTGAAACAAAATGTTCTAACTATAATGTTCTATAGTTAACTATTAGAACATTCTTATTATAATAAAAGACTATACTTTTTATGATTTCCTTTGAAGTACACACTAACTATTACCTGAACTTTACTATATCTAGTTATTAATGACTCAGTGCAAAGCTTTGATTGCTAAGATTAAACGTTACCTTTGTTCGGGAATTTTAATAAATATAAAAATATTTTTATACGTTTCGTAAGTTTTTATTTTGTTAAATAACTAAGTCATCCAAAAAATTTCATAATTCAAGTCTCGAACACATAGATTATTTGTATAGTAAAATAAATTTGTTACAAAATTAGCATCAAATTTTGGGCTATATATAAATTTAAGTCAGGATTAAAAACTAGTTTCTTATACTTATATAAATCAAGAATAATAACCGATCCTTTTCTTTAATATTGTACACATTGTATAAAAGTTTATACTTAAAATTTCTATACTAATAGCAAAATAGTTACCGGGGTCTTTTGCTACCAGTTCTACAGCAGGCACTACTTGTTCCTTAAGTCTAGAAAATTCCTCCAGTACGGCTTTAGAATTCACAGAACCACCTAAGTAGTGGCTGATAGCCAAACGAGCTTCCTGTAAAGATAATGTGTTTTTTTTATATTTCGTATCAAGAACAATTAAACAAACGACAACTTCGTTTTTATTACTACAAAATGCTGATATTGAGCTCCATCTGACACTAATAATATACATATGTATAATATATTTGTGTCAGAATACTAATATCGAATAATAATTAAAAAATTCGTTTCACGTCTTGAGATAAAACATATACATAATGTACAAAGCAGAAAAGATTTAATTGTAATAAAATTTATGGGTAACATACAATTAGAAATACATTTCTCTTTCTTCCTGTGCAGAATAAAAATAATATTATAAAAAAAATATTACACACCTCTTCTCTGTTTTGTCGAAGTAAATAAACTGGACTTTCAGTAACTGTTATCATAAGGGCCGCGTACACAATACAACAGACCAAGTTACCCCATATGATATACCGGTAGGTTAAAAACCAACCCATTAGATAGGAAACTAAGATGCCGATGCAGTAGAATGTCATTGGAGCTGTGAAAATATTATGAAAGTAAGTTATACGTAATATTTATCATCATCATCATCAGCCTATCAGAGCCCAATTAAATTACTTCTTTTTAAATCAGAAAATACTAAACTAGTGCTCCTCTGCGAAGACATATATCATAACATACCAGAAGCTAACGTTCCTCGTATCGATGGTTCTGCCACCTCAGATATGAAGATGGGTGAGTGCACGAGGAACCCACCTCCTGACACACCACTCAGAAATCTCGCTATTAGAATTACCATAGACGATCTTGTTAGATCTATCATTAACCAGGAAGCCTAAAAATCCATATATTATAATCCTTTTGAAATCATTTAGAAGATTTTTGGAGGTTTTATATTGTCGTAGTTAAAATACATACCAGCATTGGAAAAGCCAGGATCAAACCAGTCTTCTGCCTTCCAAATATACTCATCAACCAACCAACTAGTACTGTGCCAGCCATAGCTCCCAAAGAAGGCAGACTCCCTACTAAGGAGCTTTCAATTTCAGTCATTGGAGCATTCAGATATTCTGTGTCAGTTTTCGTGAAATGTACGATAGTGTAGGAAGGCCACACGTACAACAAGCCAGTCAGCATATTTCCTAAACCACCTGTTCAGAAATGAATTTCATAAAAAACGTGTCAGTTTTTTTTTTGAACTAAGAGTTAATAAAATTTATACTATAGTCTGAAATAGTGATCACAACAAATGATTACATTACATCATACAAAAACAATATTTATTTTCACTGAAATATTTGTCATTTTTTTTTCAATTACTTTACAATAACTAAGTAATTAGCTATTTCATTATAAAGTCATTAATTAAAAATCTCATTTAACTCGTGATAAACTGTTAAAATGCACAGTTATAATACTGTTATGTACAAACTCCTAAAAAGGTAATGAGTCTAAGTTTCCCAAACAAAAAATAGTTAACTCATAACTGAATAATCTTATTCCACATTACATCAACTTCAGGGTTCACTGTCAATTGTTTTTCATTTCATATCTAAATCTGTATTTTATCAAACAACATTATTTCATAAAATTACTATACATATAATAATTATATAACCCGTAATAAAATTCTGTTAAATACATTTTTAGGTATAACTATTGCAATATTTAAAAATGTTTAAAAGATTTTTTAAAAAACATATTTGTCAAACTTACAAGTAAGGCTCGTATGAGCTTGATGTATCTTTCCCATGATCAAAATAGTTTTTCTCACCACTTCTTACTTTGACACAATCACTGCCTCATACTGATCTATTTCTGAGTTGAAACATTTTGAATCTAATCAAATAACAGGATTAATTTGTTTATAAAATGATAAACTGACTTCTCGGTAGAAGATATATGAATATTATGAAAACTATTTTTACAATAATTAAGACAAGATTTATCTGATGGTCTTAGGAATTCACTTTTATCAATAACTGATATTAAATAGTCTATACACAAATTTTAATCTAAATTGTACCACAAAAATTGTAACTCATTTGTACCACAATAACTATTCAAATAATATGTTGCGAATATCACAATTACACTGAAAATATTTAAAGTTTCAGCAAAACACTTATCATAATTGGAAAACCGACTTTAAATTCTTTTCACATCATTGAATAGCACAATCACTCCACTAACGTCAACGTTTGAAGATAAAGTATTGCTGAATGTTTTTTAACGCTTTTATTAATAAATTCAATGTGTAAGTATTTCGATAAACATGCAAATATTAAAGGAAAACTAATTTAATTATTGTTTAGAAATTATACAAAAAATATAGTCATCTTTAGACTGAATAAATTTGAATTATGTTTTAATTTATAACAGATACATTATGTTATATTGTATAAGAGACGAAACCTCTTAGCATTCAATGTATTCACCGTGCGGGTGCCGGGTCCATCGTTGTAGGGAGAGGAGCTTCAACAGTGTCTGGGACTTGCCACCCAGGCATAGGTTTAAGTGGGCCCAATCTAACCCGGTAAACGGTCACATATTTTGAATATAAATCAAAAATTGAAACACATTTCATATCATTTTCCTTATTTATTTTAGACCGACTACAAGTAAATATTATTTTTCTAAACATAAATACGTGTTTTCTTACGTTTAAATGTCGTTTCATGTTTTTATGCATAAAAATCTGAAAACGCTGCGTAATAATGAATAACTACATATGTATATTTAGTTAATAAACTTCTACATCACGACTTACTACTGTTTGTTGAATTCATCTTTCATTTCTTAATAGTTTGATAATAAACCTTTAAAGCATGAGCAGATCAGTAATTAGTCTAGTATACACCTTTTAGTCATTGTCATAGTCTTAGACTTTATATAATGAATCTAATTATAACAGAGATACTCATATCAATTAACAAGATATTGAAGTTCTAAAAATAATTCTAATAGTAATTAAAAATCTTGTTTTTTGATACGCAACAGCTACCTTTCTGAGACAATCGGTTTGATTGCATTAAAACACATCTTGTATCTTTCTTATAATACAATAACTGTAACATCTTCCTTAATGTACTTAGTACGGATATTGATTTCCGCTTCAGGTTCATAAATACTAGGTCTTTGGTAAAAAAATATATATTTATAAAAACAAAAATTACAATACAACCATTACCTATTAATCTATAGACAGTGGGAATACTTTTAAGCAATACATAATTACACTGCTTGGGTCTTTGGTAAAATTTTTCCAGATGTAAATCAAAAATGAATCGGGAACGGGCAAGAGAGGGTGGGTAAAGAGAAAGTGCAACCCTTTCTCTCACTCATCAGACGAAACACAGTCATTCATGACTACTTCACACCGATCTTCTGTAAGAGGATGGTTCTTCCCCGGACGAACCAGCCCATGTTCGAGCTAAGTTACTTGACCATAGCTAGGCTCTACCACCTACCATATTCACTTTTGACTTTAAGACACCCAAGTTGAAAATGGAAGGTATATAATTTAACAGCAGAACTTTATCTAATGTATTCTAATTATTATGGCCACCTCCTCGAGAAAAAATCATTTGGCATAAATTTTCATTATCACCTTTGATGTAAGAATGAACAATGTTTGAAACTGTACCGTATTGGTTTTTTGAGTTGTTGGTGAAAAGGCAATGATATAAATTCCGGATACTGCGCATTTTTATTATTTTTAGCTACATAATACAGTCGTTTCAGTTCCTTTACAGTTACCGTGATGACGGGCAGACGAGATGAGAAGATTTCTGATGTTTTACAAACGTTGAGAGTGAAAACTTTTGCCTCTTTTCTTAAAGTTTTCATTTAATATGAATATTTCCTCCATCGTATTAGTCAATGATTACATATTCACAACTAATAACAAAGTAAGAAAAAGGAAATTCTATTTACATAAAAATCCAAACTTGTCTTATATTGTGGCTTAGAAAGCCATAACTATCATCTATTTTTACCTACAGGTTATCCATAAGATTTTAATATATACATATGTAACTAATCATGTGAAATAATATAATTATCACCCAGACAATAAATATAATTGAGAATGTACGTTTACTTTTTTATAATAATAAAATAAATTTATTTATATAAACGATAAAAAGTACTTTAAATTAAAAACTCAAATATTTGTCAATGTTAGATAACTCTGATAAAATAGTGTAGCTATTAAATAAGAATTTTCTGGAATTGAGAATCGTTGTAAACATTTGTACACATTTATTTCTGAGAATTATTGAGCTAATTTTTTGCACAAACTTGACCTGTCTTTATATAAAATAATTTATTTTTAAGTTATTTTTTTTATGCTAAAGGGGACAACCGAGCACACGGCCTACCTGATGAAGGTAGTACCGTCACCCATAGACATTCGCAACATAGATTTTCGGATGTGTTGTCGCCCTTGATTCGGGAAAAGGGGGAGGAAAATGTAGGAAAGAGTGGGAAAAGAGCAAGTTGACATATATTTACCACTTCGCAGTTATAAATATATAATTTAACTAGCGTCCTATATTAGTTTTTTCTTTTAATCTTTATATTCCTACTAATTGTTTCTAAAGCTGATCAAACATTTTTATTGACCTGTAATATTTTTACAATGAATGAATTCTAATTATCATCTTTATATTTCGTCTAAAAATCTCAAATGTTTTTAAGTACTGAAATAAAAGAACTATATATAATTACTTTCGAATTTTGTAAATAACAACATTATTTAGGCTTGAATATGTTATAAGCTCAATGGCTTATATTAAGTCAATAAGGAAAAATATTATTAAAAGAGTATTAGAATTGTAGTTTTGACTACTCCTATTTAGTATACTATTTATATTTAGCTTAGTTTGTTTCGTTCATATTATTATAACACTTTGTAGCGGTCGGAAGCATTTTTTTATTCAACAAATCCACATTTAATCAAAAATTAGTAGAACAGGTAAACTAATATAGAACACGACTGCCTCTAATTAGAGCTATTAACGACATTTTCCTACGTCCCTTCATGACCGTAATCCATAAGGAAATCTAAAAACTAAACACAGTACTAATAGCCGTTATAAATATTTAATTGAATTCATTCATACTTAATGAGTTGACAAATGAAATTACCATTCATTTGGTTTTTGCCTATAATAAAAAAATACAATGCCACCGCTCTAATGCTAAAAGGGAAATTAATCTGTTGATACTAAAAAAAATATTTAATTATGAAATATTTAAAATTAATTGCGTCAGTTTTCCCCAAACCTTTTTTTAAACAACTAAATAGTGCTAAATGAGATTATCATGAAGGTTCTATTCCAATACAATAGAAAGGCGTTTTATTATTCCAAAGTCATTTTATTGTAAGGTAATTGTTTTTTATAATAAAATTAGCTCGTAACTCCTTTTACTGTAAGTAACACCTGAGCTAGCATAAACTGGTATATCATTCAGCTATACGTGTTACATATGAACGAAGCAAAATACAAAAAAAAAGGTCGATTTTTTTATATAAAACTATTTGATATTAATTACGCAAAGATAGATTGTAAAAAGTCGTAGCGGCCTAGAGATTAAAGGTCCGATTCTCATGCATGAGGGTGCAGATTTAAGACCTGACAAGTAACAATGTGATCTTTTCCAAGTCATATGTACTTTTTAAGAGTATTTAGACACCACTGACAGACTGTGAAGGCAAACATCGTTAGGGAACCTGGATTTATAATATTAAATTATAAGTTTGAAATCGCCAATCCACCTTGAGAAAGCGCTCGGTCTCTCCATGTGAGAAGAGGCCTTTGCCTGAGCAAGCTCACTGCTGACAGTGAGCTGATGATGATGGTGCTCTCAACATCATGTCGTAACATCATTTTGATTTTCAATAGTCTTGAATCAATGTTCATTCTTTTAAGTCCTGTAAGATGGAACACTCCTTAATCTTTATTACGGATCCATTAACTTGAACATCATTTTGAGGCTATATTCAACAGTTAAGTGGTTTTAACCTTAAAGATAGATATCAAAATACATAATTTTTATTATGAAAAATACTAACTTAATTCTTATAACCACTTTTAATAGTGCTGTAATTATGACTAATAAACTGCATATGTTGCTTAAGATTTAAAACTTATTTGCCATTTAGAAAGATAAACAATACAATAGTTATTTAAAACTCTTATTGTAAAACTATTAATATAATTAATCAACCGTCCATCTGGCCGTCCGTCCGTCTTTAAATAAAACTATGTATAATAACACTTAAATAAGTAAAAAAATATATAAAAAAGTATTCTAACACTGATTCATTTTATACTTACCTTACATATAAAATAAATTTAGAAAAAGACATCAAGAATATAAATGACTTTATTATTTCTTTGTTTAATATATATTAATCTACAAATACAATAAAATCGTTAGTTATGAGACGAAACTTCTCAGGATTCATTGGATTTACCGTGCGGGTGCCGGGTCCATCGCGTTGCAAGGAAAGGAGCTTCAACAATGAATGGGACTTGCGACCCAGGTGTAGGTTTACGGGGCCCCTTATCTAACGCGCGTTAAACACTCACCTCCACTGTACTATATTTCCATGGGAAATATGTATACACAAAATATACATGTATTTGAGGAGTATATACATTGTAGGTTGTGTTATATTTTTATATTATGTATATTTTTCTAGTCATTATAATTTTCTAATTTCTAATATTACTTACATTTTGTCAGTGATTTTAAAAAACATATTATATTTTTTTCAATAAATTTAATGTTTATTTAATTTCCATATGAAATATAATAAAATTTTTATATGAAATTAAAGTATTAAAGTGCTCTTTCTATTTCTATCTGAAAATTTTTTTATTCGTCACTGAATAGTGCTTGACTGTCATCCCACTTGTTAGTAGGTAAAAATAAAGTTGTAGGTAGTAAACTTACTAGCTACTTTAGTAACAATTTTTTTTCTAGTCTTGAAGACACCTATTAGGTTGGTGCGTATGAAATGTCGGATTCTTAAGTAATTGTATAAAACTGCATATCTTTCTTCAAAAGCTGTTTATTCAATCAAAGTATACTCCATTCGCTTCAATACACTTCTCCCAACGAGATTTTAAAGCGTAGATGCCTGTCTTAAAAAAATTTTGGTCTTTAGAATTAATAAACTATGATATCGAGTTTTTTAGACTGTCTTCATTTTCATAGTGTTTGCCCCTTAAAAACAGCTATAAATGCTTGAAAAAATGAAAATCGGTCGGCGAGAGATCCGGTGAATATGGTGGATGCTGCAAAACTTCATATTCCAGTTCGTTCAGTTTCGCAATTGTTTTGCGCGATGTATGCGGCCGAACGTTGTACCCACTTGTCCATCTTCTTAACCTTGTCAATCTCAGAAAGGTGTCTCAATATCGTTGTATGATCAACTTTCATCCTGAGAGCAAGTTCCCTCGTGGATACGGCTGGATCCGCTTCCACTAGAGCCTTCAGGTCATCATTCTTCACAGACGTTTTGGGTCTTCCGCGCGGCTCATTTTGCAGTGAAAAATCGCCAGTCAGAAATTTTTTGAACCAACGCTGCACTTTCCGATCGTTAACCGTATTCTCCCCAAACGCTTGGTTTATGTTGCGTGCAACTTTTGCAGCACTATTACCAAGTTTGTACTCATATAAGAAAATGACGCGAATATCGGCAGAATTCATATCGGCAATAAACTCAAAAGAAATAACAAAAGGAAAGACCTTCGAGAAAACCTATTTTGCTGAAATGAGTCTCTGGCAATGGACAATACGACTATGCATGAGGTTATGCCAAAGACAAAAGTATAACGAAAACAGGGAGACAAACGTCCGCATGTAAAGAGAATCCGACATTTCATACGCACCAACCTAATAAACTTAAGTGGAAGAAAACAAACGCATGCAAACTGTTCCAGCCCAACGGAGTCTAAAATAGATTTATAATATCTTTATTTTGTATTAAAAAATAATAAACTTAAAAAAAATAATATACTTAAAAACTGACCATTGCAAACCAGGAAATATTGAAAGATGTCGTCTTAGTAACTAGCTATCAGGAGAAATAAATAGTATACATTACATAAACACAGGTTTGTAACAAAAAATAAACAATCTGATGACTTTAAGTATAATTTTATTTCAATCCAGTTGTCAGACTGTAAGTAGAACACTTGATAAAATATTCCTTTATATTTGGCTATATTTTAAGACTCGGTCTTTACCATGATTAAATAATCCATGTTTCTTTTCTATACAATTTTTTCTTGTTAAAACTCCCTGACTAGTAACAATACATCAATCAATTAAAAATATCTACACTTTCTGCGTGTCATTTCTTTTTTCTTTCAAAAACAATAATTGTATCTCATCAGCTGATAAACCCTTGGTCTCTGGTAAGCAAAATTGGCTATAGGCTGCCGCGAAGAAACACATTAAAGAGAAAAAATAAAACGCAGAACCAAGACCCCACCACTCCACTATAGGGTTAAAAATGATGAGAGTAACCCAGTTCATAATCCACATAGTAGCCATCGACACGCTATTTCCAAGACCGCGCACCTTGAATAAAGAAACAAAATATGCTTAAAAGGTAACCATAAGAAAGATTGTTACGAAATAAAATGTAATCAATTTGTTCTGATTAAGAGAATATGTAAAGTATTAAAAATTTCTCACCTGCGGCAAAAAAACTTCTCCAGTTAGCACAAAAGGTACAATGGCGGCACCAAGATTGTATGAAAAACTTGAGGCATAAATAAGAAAAGCTGTAAACCAATGTGGCGCCCAGTGTGAGTTCAGTTGAGTCCCAAGAATTATATATGATATCCCTGTTAATATACTAGTCACCTTTAATAGGACCTGAAAATTAAAAACATTTGTATTACATAGCTTCCTTTGCGAATAAATTAAAAGCTGCATACAATTTCTATCTTTTTTTTCCAAAAATCCAAGTAATTATTCTTATCATAGACATTCGATTACAAAAAGCCAGAATACACTTCAAGAGAAAAATACGACTTGACTTCACTTAAATTTCAATGGCAAAAATTTAAACTTGTTTCTTCTAAGATTCTTAAACAAAACATAAAAAATAATTTATTCCTTAAGATTAAATATTAATAAAGGGGATAAACAAAATAAAACTATCAAATGAAAGTTACCCTTCTTCCAAATTTGTCTAACAAACTTGCTCCAAATAGGGCAGCTGTTAGGTAAGTGACTGCCATCAAAATGGAGCAAGTATTTGGATGCATAGTGGGAACTGCCTCTTTAAATAACGGTTCAGCATAAACTTGGAGGGCTATTGAACCCATCAGTATTGTCAGAGCCATCACTGTGAAGACAGCCACTAAAGCCCTTTGGGATGATTTCGATCTCTCTGTAAATGGAATGATTTTTGAAAATATAAATATGAACTTCGTTAATCGTTATATCTCGTAAAGAAGGTATCATTACTATAGAAGAGAATAAACCAGTTATAGTATAATTTCCACAATTGATGAGCAAAAAAAATTAATACTATTCTGACGAATGCCAAAAATCAATTAGACAAATTATGACTGCGGACAATTTTTAGGTGATTGTTTGATTGATTCAATATTTGATACAAAACTTATATACTTCGGAAATTCAAATATGTTACTGTAATAGTCTAGAATGCAACTATATAGCAGACAGGCATGCAATGCAATGTTGAAATATCGCATAAATAAATAGTATTATTTATGTTTTTGGTAATAAAATCAAGTTGGCATCCTTTACCCCACAAGAAAGACTAACATCGAAATATTGAATTCATAATTCACTTAAAAATTTGTTTTAAATAGTTCTTACCTTCGCTTAATATAATTATGAAATTGCATTTGTTCGTAAAAAGTAAGATTTTTCATAACTAAATCTTTTTTTCGTTGAAATCTCGAAAACAAATTTTTCAATTTTTATCTAGCACTAGTCTTTGTTCTCGTATCGATGATCGACACGGCAGATATTTTAATACGTATTATATTTTTATAAATATCTAAAGTTGACTTTGACTTAACATAGTTTATTTTGAGGTTACCCTCAATAGCCTGAGAGGCTAACGATAATCAAGAACTAAGCCATTTTGAAAAAGGATGAGGTTGTTCTAATTCCAACATACATTTTTCAATATAATTTATAAGGACATAGATAATTTATTTTAGATAAAATAGATAAAGAAAATAATTCGACTGAGTATGACACTTACTTAAAAACTGCCACGCTGTTTCTTTATTTTCATTTGATTCCACTGGAGTCTTTTTTATAAGATCTTCTGCTTCTTGAGTATCTGAAAACGAATTCGTGATAAATTGTTGTTTTTTCTAAATAATTTTGTTTAATTAAAACTCTTTTTGTATTCTATATTAGTAAGAATATTTCTAATCGTCTTTAGTTACGAATTTAAATTATGTTTTTTATAAATAAATAATATCATTGAATTATTCTGTTCTTTCCAATTTTAATTGCTTATAAGCCACCATTAAAATACATAGCTAATTTCATTTACTGACTATCACTTTTTTTGTTTTGTTCATCGAAAATGATTCTACCTGTGACGATTAGCTTTAAAAGATAATGCAGATTCTAAATTATGTATTCTGGCTTAATTTTATCAAGTGCAAGGATAGTATTAAATGACAGCTAGTATCTAATGCATTACAATTATCTCACATTTAAATAGGATTTAATCATTGTTTATTTAAATAATAAGCAATTTACGTTCTATCTGGATTAAATACTAATTATATAAATGTATTTACAGATAACAAAATGTTGATTACCTGCATCAGATTTGAGTATTTTATCTTCTTTAGAACCTAACTGGAGTTTGATCTTCTGAATTTCTAATTCAACTTCTTTAGATGACACGTCTACTTGTCGATAAAAAGCTATTGCCTCCGCTGCTTCCTAAAATGAATACATTATATTTAATCCTTAAGTTTTATTATAAATTTTATGAATAAAACAAATTTTATGCTTTTAAAAAAATCAGTTAAAGATGAAAATACAAACAAGTATAAGTGTCAACAAATAAGAATGCAAATTATATTTTAAAGTTATTAATAAACTAACCTTCTCCTTTTTTAATGTGAGAAGATAACACGGGGATTCTTTTAAAGGTATCAACATTAAGATGTACAATATTGATAGAGCTAGATGTATGTACAAAACGTTATAGTAAGTCATGTATCCCCCAAAAATATAGGACATCAACAGGCCAAAGAAAAAACCATAGACTGTTGAAGAAGTTAAAGCTCCTCTTATTGAATCTTGAGCTATTTCTGATATATATACGGTAGAAACAGCTTGACCTGCGGCGCCAAACCCAGATACACCAACAGCAAATAATACAACGTAGAATGATGTAGTTACAGTAATTAGGGCCCACGATATCTGTAAAGGATAGCGAACGATATAAAATCATTCAATACAAGAAATGTTTGAGTTAAAATATTCAATATTTATGAACCCTGGAAATTTATTTCATAACAAAGTAATACTAAAGTAGTATTTAAGTTTACAAAACTAATAGTAAAACAAAATTACTTAAAACTCATTTTCAATATTTTTATTAAGAGATGTTTATTATGCATTTCGAATTCTGTTAGGATACTAATACTGTTAAGGTATTTTTTTGAAATATCAATGACATATATGCAATTGAAATATCTCTAAATTCACATATGACTTTTACGTATCCCTATGTTGATCGAGTTTACTATCTTACGCTGCAGAGGCAGTTTGGCATAGTATTTAATACTCGTACTAATTTCACCTCAATTATAAACGTTCACATCAATTGTGAACTTTTTCCCGGTAAGAAAAAACATTTCTATATTCAATCGACTCTTCGTTATCTCTGTAATTGGATTTCTCACGAACAGACAGTATTGCATCATTTCTTTACCCTCTTAATATATCTAGAATATATTTTTTGAACCAAAACTAGTAATATATATACTCGTATTTTTGTCCCCTTATTACAGCTCAACATGCTATTATCTAACTGATGAAAAAACACTACCTGTAAGTGATAGCAGCTATTACAGATGTTCCATTGTCCAAAAACAGGATAGGTTTCGTTTTATTCACATTTTGATTGTCCAAATTTCAAAAATGCTTTATTTGAATACTTTTCTCATTCATAATAAAAATAAATTAAAAATACGTTACTCTTACCCGTTACTCTTAGTAAAGAACAAGTTAGTTAAAAACAGATATACATATTTCCTAATAAAAATAATCAGCTTACAACTTTCAACTTAAAACGGTTTATTAGAAATTAAGCTATGACAAATAAGAAAAATTAATAAAGAAGACACATATGAAACAAATTTTAAATAATGATTGTATTTTTCGGTTTCAATAATAATCACTTTTGATTTCAAGGCTTTACAAGGTGTTTTTTAAATAATTCAAACAACAACATTATATTTCTTCTCTTAAACTATTTTTTGTATTTTGAGCCACATTTCGTAAATGCAATTTGTAAATGTGGCTAAAATCAAAAATATTTTCATTCTATGGATTCATATATATCTAAACTTATTCCGGTATTAATGCTTTCACTAATTAGTGTATTGGTGAAATTAAACGTATTTATATGTCCCTCATAAATTTTGGATAAAACGCTCATTACTAATAAGTACAATATGTTTACTTCATCACGTTTTTATATATTATCTGATAAAATTCAACTCGAAAGAACTTAAGCAAAGAAAGTATAGTTGCACAATATTTACATGAACCAATACATGTGATTTTAATATCCAAGTAATTTAATTATAATATTAATTCATCAAATGAAATAAAAACACTGTTTTTTATGGCAAAAATGGCAAAAAAGCTGACAGTCTACCTCATCCGAGATGCGAACATAATTTTGTGAATGCCTTGCCACCGACCTTCAGTGTGAGTGTGGTACTTCCCGGGTCGAGCCAGCTCATTTTCGAGCTGCAGTTATTTGACCACAACTAGGCTCTACCACCTTTGCAATTAACACTTAATAATAGTTACTCACCACATAAGGCAACCCAAAAAGCATAGCCGAATACTTCCTTCCTATTTTATCCACAGCATATCCACAAAGCGGTGTCGCTATAAGTCCGCCGATGTTAACGATACTTCCCAACATAGACATTTGGTTGACAGTAATCGGTGCATCGAGATAAGTATCATTTGATAAATATATTTGGAAAGTATAAGACGGCCAGGCATATACAAATCCTGTCAGTGATGTCAGGAAGCCAACTGAAAATATTAAAGTTACTTGTATGTCTAAAATGGTATACTCGTATTTGCCTATATAAAAAAAAAACAAATGTATTTATTGATAAATATTTCTTAAACTTCCGTAGTACAGAGGACACAAAATGAATGACTGCAAATCCAAATACAAAATAAATATATTTTAAATTCTATTTGAAAGATATAATCCAAATCATTTATCTATATATACCAAAATAAAAATAAAGAAATCTTTATTTACAAACTACTCACTGATCAAAGTTGCAATGCCTTGCACCAAGATAGCCTTTAATTTAACTTTTTCACTCATTGTTTATGCTATTTCTCAGTTGTTTATGAGTTGATAGTACAGTACCGCTCTAACATAATCTACCTCTGTAAATGACTACTATGATATTAACTAAAACACTATTGTTCTAAATTTAATATAATGTATCGCAAATGAATGCTTTTACTCTGCGTTATCTCATGGATATCATGCGGCTTTGCTAGTGGCTTATCAAGAAGACTTCTGTTTGCCTAGAATCGTATTGTTTATTACGGTTTAATATACTTTTAATTCTCTGTATATTGTAGTTTATTTATAAAAAGTACATATCATTAAACTATTAAATTTATATAATTTCAGCGAAACTTACTTCCATTATTTAAAGTTTTTAATAACTATATTTTTATAGGTTCACAAGATAATGCAACCCTTATTAACATATGGTTATAATTATTTTGTAATTGTTATATGTTAACATAGTTTTTTTTACATTCAACACACACATCGATATATAAATGGAAAGGTTCGTAATAAGGTCCCGGAGAAACCTCACACAAAACATTTTCATGTTATTACTAAATTAAATATTTAACGCTTATAACTGACGCTTAACTTATGACTTTCAATGTATTGTGGGACCTTTGGCACTTAGCCAATTTCGACAAGAATGTTGTAGATATATTGACAGGTATAATGTAAAAAAGGTTGATACAAATTTGTAACGCCTATGCCTCATTGGGATATGTTTTTAATAACGTCATTATGGGTCCAGTATCAAATGTGGAATTGCTTTTTTACTGTATACTATGAAAGCAATAAGTTTAAAAAATCTTATGGACTAATTAGAATACGAAATTTATGACAGCGATATCGCATAAGAATAATTCGTCGATAGACCATAATCTTTACCACAAGAAGTGAAATTGCAATCTTTTAGTCATAAAGAAATTGAAACCATGAACAAATTTTTGATGTCGCAGGAGAACTCTTTTTACGAGCAGTCCAACCGGCCTTGGTGGGACTGCAAGGGATGTGTGAGACTCGACCTGGGCAGGCACCTACTCACTAAAACCACTGCGAAAAAAATCGGCCGCTATGTCGGTGTACCCCGGATCAACAAAAATAACCCTGACAATAGCCATGTAAGTTCAAAGTTGAGCAATATTTTATTTATACTGAGCCCTAATTAAAAATTGATACTGTATTGAAAAATAAATTTCAATAAGAGTGGTGCATGTAGGTTTACACTATATATATGTAAATTAAGACATTCTTGTAGATTCTCCACTATTCTTAATCATAAGGACGTTGAACTCGAAAATTGCACAATATTTTACCGAAAAGACAGACATTTTGTTATAAGCATGATAATACAGATATAATAGATATATTTTAAATATACATATGTTAACCAACATTTTATTCATAAACAGTAATCTATGATCTAACTTTTTGATATCAATCTATATCAGACTACAATACTGAAACTACTAGCCTTACTGTTTTATGAATTTATGGCAATCATATATATGTGTAAGTAAAGTAAAGGAAAACCACTGAATTAGAGTAAGCTATTTTTTAATTTTCGTTAAAGTTTGATGGTATCATAAATTTCTATAAAGTCATGTCTACATTGTAGACTACAGGTTTCCTGACGTAATCATTTATTATTGTCAGTTATCTTTACAAACACTTATTGTGTTCTCAGTATACATCATTCAAATGAGAGTACAGACAGCGAAAACTTGTAATATATTATTAAATAATATAAATATAATAACGATAACTACGAAATGACAATCAATTATATGGAATAATAAGAATAGCACATAGTTTTAAAAAATCCTGAAATCTATGAACTGTGAACGTACTACCGACAGCATAATGAGGTCTAAGACTTTAACGAGTATTCAATTAAATTAAACTAATATTTTTAACATCTCGTCTGCCCGTGATCATGGTTGCTGAAAAGTAACCGAAACGTCGGAAGTATGTAGTTTTTACAACAATAAAATACGCGTAGTATAATCCGAAAACATAAGTTTCAATTACCGTCATGAAATATATAAATAATAAAAAATATTAGCCTTTTTGTCATCCATACATAAACATCCACGCAATATCTGCCAACGTGGCCAAAGAAAAATATTATAAGACTTTATCACTACGATTTGTTTAGGATTAATTACATGTTTATAAAAAATATATGAAAAATTTAAGATATGAGAGTAGTATATTAATTAAAAATATGTAAATAAAATATGATTAATATGAAGACAAAATTTAACTAATCCCTACTAATATTATAAATGCGAAAGTAACTTTTTGTGTCTGTTTGTCTGCTACTTTTTCTCGCATTAACCACTCAACCGACTTTGATGATTTTTTGTATAGGGTAGATGGAACCCTGGAAAACGACATAGGTTACAGTTTATCCCGATTGCCACACCCATTCTAAAACTACAAGAGTGAAACCATGAATTGCGGTTCGGGTTCAATGGCCGTAGTGGTTTTTAACTTTCATCCTCATCCGTATACCCATGTCGATCCTAATCCCAATCCCGGTCCCGAACCCAGATCCTGATCCCCAAACTTCACGAGTAGAATGAAGTGAAGTTCGGGTTCCGTGGTCCCAATAACAGAGACTAAGTGTGATATCTTCGCGGACCGAGTCGCAGGTAAAAGCTAGTTTATCATAAAAATAAAATATCATTGTGTATAAATGAAACTAAGTTTTTCAGATAACGAGGTGACATCTTAATCTCGTCTGGCAGTGATCACTGTTTCTGAATAGTAATCGAAACGTCGCGAACATGTAGCTATAAAATCATAGAAAACACGCAATATGTCACTCAGTGCTGGCCTAGTGGTTAAAAGGCCCGCCTCTCATGCATGAGTGCGCGGGTTCGATCCTGGCCCTGGCAAGTGCCAATGTGATTTTTCCGAGTCATATGTACTTTCTGAATAATGCATTCCCAAAGATGGAAGGCAGACCCTGACTAAAGCAGGGAAATTGCCAGGAAGAAGAAGAAAACACGTTATATCTGAAATACATAGTTTCATTTAAATGTGTACGCAAGACAATCTTAGATATCGTTGTGATTTTATATTACTTTTCGTCCTCGATTTTTGGTCACGACATTTCATTAATGAAATATTAATTTGTATTGTTTTGTAACAACTCAATATAAGTAATTAACTTAATATTATCAGTATTGTATCAGTATTTACTCCAAGTTTGCATCTACACACACATACGGAGAATACTGTTTTTCATTCACAAATCGTCACAAAACAATATTAACGTAGCTTACTGAGTAATCTTTTGCTTATCGTACAGTTGCTTTTCTAACGACAATTTTATATCGCATTAAGTGTATAGTATTAAAAATTTTATAACACGTAATTCAGCCATATATACAGAAGTGTATAACACAGAAAGATTCGTAAGTGTCTGTGTATAGTGTTAAAATTTTAGAAAGCATATATTTTCCTTAAGAAATAACAAAAAGAAAATGTTGTGGTTGATAAATGTGATTTTTTTTTATTTATATGATTGTAACAATATGAAATGTAATGAGCAATTACAAACTTTTTGTTTTTATTAAAAAGTAGTTAAGTCCACTCATAAGTAATGAATAAATGGACATACAGGTATGTACCTATCTTGAAAATTACTTGAAAAATACTAAACTCAAATTTTCAATATATAGTAAACTAGCCTTGTCTTGTGACTTTGATCGTATATTAAACCACTTTTGGGATAGGCGTTATCATAATTATGAAAATTTAGTAAATTTCCTCAAGATCTCTTAACATGATGAGGACGTAACAAACTTGCATTACAACTTACAAGGTATATTCATTTTCGTATAAAAAAATATGTTTGAAAATTGGTCACTAATTCAGTCAGAAATTGCATAAAAATCATTTCGACGATTTTTGAACTTAGCCCGTTTTAAGGTCGCGGTCGGTAAAAAAGGAGACTAAGTTATTTGTTTATGACATTACCTAGCTGAATATTAAGTTCTTTATAAAATCTGTCCAGTCGCTAAAGATATTGACCCAAACAAGCAAAAGACAGACTAAAATAATAACAGACCCTTCAATTTTGTTTATAAGTATAGATACAATATAAATACATCCCTACTAACATTATAAATGCGATAGTAACTCTGTCTGTTACGCTTTCACGGCTAAACCACTGAACTGATTTTTATGAAATTTGGTACAGATATAGAATTGACCTTGAGAAAGAACATAGTATAGTTTTTATTTCAGACTTTTGAAAGGTTCTCTTGGAAACACGATATAACCGAACTCCACGCAGGCGAAGCTGTGGGCGGAAAGCTAGTACTTTATATTGTATCTATACTTTAAAAACTCAAATCACATAACAGTTTAAAGTGTTGAATTATTTAATATTCTCCATTATATAAAAACAAAAATTGAATTGGTAAATTGACATACAGGACACCCTTGCTTTTTGCCATTAACCTTATAAATCTTTGAAAAACTACGAGAATTACAAAGAACATGTAGTGAAAAAAGAAACTTTCTTTTCTATTGTTTAAGTTATTGACGTTTATTTATAGATATCGCCAATGACAAATCTAATTATGAAACTGATCTATTTTATAATACAAAATATGTACAACATGAAATTTAATATAAAAAAAATAAAAAGCGCCTGCAAAATATAACTTTATATGTGTAGAAATACGTTTTCACTATTAATTTTTGAGATTTATAATCACTTAGTGCTGGTTCTAAAAATCCATAAACGGCAGGCAATTTACGTTCAAAGTTATTAAAACTAATTTTATTTTCGATTGTCATACAGATTTACATTGTATATATATAGGTTTTGTAACAATTTTATATTTCATTATGCTAAGACAAATAATAGACATTTATAAAGTTGGTACCTAGATCTATTCAAATATGTGAGTAATGAATATTTTCATTTAATAGTTGTAACATCTTAAGTCCTTTTTAAATTCTGCTGTTATAGTATGTTAAACAAATTCTAAAGTGAATTCAAGTCATTATAGATAATGTCCAAGCAAGTTATAAATTATTTAGGTATAACACTTAAATGTATGTAGCAAACTTATTTCAATTACCTTAGAATAAATGTGTAAAATTTTAAATAATCATTTTGTAATTTTGAGTTATTCAGTGAAGTGAAAAGACTTCTTAATAAGTAATAACGTGCTAGATATATTTACTTTACAAATAAATACTTTATATTATTACAACGCTGACACGTTTGACACGATAAATTTAACATTGTGTAGAAAAGTTGATTTTTAACTTATATACAAATATAGTCTAGTAAATAATACTAACCCTAACTTTTGTTGAAGTAAGGCTTTTCAACAATAACATATACCTTCCGCGATGGAAACAAGGAACCAATTAATAAAGGTTGTATTTGTTCATGAGATGAGGTGATTTATGTTTAGCCGACTTTGTACACTCACGACTTGAGACACATCTTTGAAACTTTCACCTTGTTACATGACACAGCTTCCGAGTTAAATCTTAGTTTTGACGATACGAAAACATGAATTCAAAAGGAAATTGTAAGAACTGTATATTGTTGTAAATTAAAAAACCCATTACAAATTTTAAACAATTTATTTTTATGTGTACACAAATGTATACTTCGACTCCTTGTATGTATGTCAAAGTTTTATTATAAGTTTTAACACAATACAAAAGAAATCAATTACAATGTTTTATATCCTATACTTTTAGATTACAGTTTCTCTCTTTCTTTATAAACAGAAGTTGAATAGCATCCGCTGATAATCCTTTTGTCTCCGGAAGACACAAATGACTGTAGAGCGAACCAATGAAACATATAACAGCGAATATGTAAAATGTTTGCCCCAAACCGAAAAATTCGACCAAAGGGAAGAAGGTTGATACAACAATCCAGTTTGTGATCCACAAAAACGCCAAGGCAATGCTATTTCCAAGAGCTCGTACCTAAAAAAGAATATAAATTACTATAACGTACATTTTCATTAATATCAGTTTTATATACTAAACCTCTCTTACATTTATTAAAATAAAATTGTGCAATTATCACTCTTCATTGATGAACTAAGCATTCGCAGTGCCAATTAATAAACCAAGAATTCGCAGTAAAATAGAGAAAAAGAATAAAGACAATATGATTTTTCCAGAACACTAAGCGAATATTCGCCTCAAAAACATAGGATCTATCATGAAACATTGAATAGCACTATCATGGAACATTATATAGTATCAGAATAAAGTAACAAGAATACAAAAGAACTAGTTCGTTCACCTCTGGCAAAAACACTTCTGCAGCCAGAACCAAGGGTACTTGGGCTACTCCTAAGTTGAATATAAAACTGTGTAAGTATATAATGACAGCGGTGAACCAATATGGAGCCCAATGGAGATGCAGTTGCGTTCCTATGACGATTGTAAATATACCGGCAATGAAAGACGTTATCGTCATCAAATTCTGTAAATTAAAGAAATTAGTACATCTTCTCATACTTAAAATGTTTACACCAATTTAATTCCAAGATATTTCAATCATTTTTATAACCTTCCTTCCTAATTTATCCAACGTGGAAGCACCAACCAATGATGCCAGCAGATAGTCCACTGCCAGTAATATAGCACACGTATTTGGCCTCATACCGGGAATTGCCTCCTTAAATATGGATTCTGCAAACATTTGCAACACCAATGAACCCATAAGAACCATAGCTGACATAGTTATTATGACCGCCATCAGCGCTCTCTTGGATGATTCTGATTTTCCTGGAAACAAATGCAATAATTTTATTTCAGATTCCTTTTTATTCAATCCACTACGAAAAAGCTACCAAATAATAATATTGTTTTCTGACTAATAACAAATTGTTGAATATTAAAATATTGCCTACGTTTTGGTCTAGTTTGTATTTTAGTAGCAAATGGAACTTACTCAAAAATTGCCATGCTGATATTTTTTTCTTAACTGGTCTCGCTTCACCTTTGATGAATGATTCTTGATGCTCTGAAATACATATATTTACAAAAGTAATACGGTGTTTTTCTTGATAAAACAAATGCTTTATTTATTATCGATCGCGAATTAATCATGTTTAATAAAACTAATTAATACGTGACTTTATACAAACTTAGGGAGATACTTGGGGTTATTAACTGTAGATAGCGTCAAAAATTGCGATTTTCTATGATGCTTATTTCAAACTACACACATCAAAAAAATTGATTCAACTGAAGTTTTTTTTTATGGAAGTATTACAGATACATCAATAACACTGATAAAAAAGCTAATACAATTAATAATCAGTTAAGTAGACGTAGTTAACTTTTCTATACAATTAATATCTAGAAACTTTACTTAAGAAATAAAGACAGAATTCTCCACTATATAAGATGGTTTAGAAATCTAAGATTACAAAGGACTTTATTACTTACAATATTTACGTAATACTCTAAGTTTATATGTACTTTATTTATATTTATCTAATACAACAACAACACCTACCATTAACAGCTTCAGGCAACCGGTTTGTGTCCTAAAACATAAAACACTTATGATAGATGTGTCTAAAGATGTACATATTATTCATTATAATACTCTACGCATTACATTGTGATGTTACTTACGCAGTCTTCTATAATGATATCCGCATTTAAATCTAACTGAACTCTCAGACTATTAATTTCTCTTTCCACTTCTTTTGAATCTACATCCACTTGTCGATAGAACGCGATGGATTCCCGAGCTTCCTAATAAAATACCATAATGAGATTATTAATCTTCTTCTTCTACCTGGCAATTCCCTAGCTTTAGCCAGGGTCTGCCTTACATATGACATCAACCCTCTTTGGGAATATAATGAGATATTTAATAATATATAAAAAAAGACGCGGTATTGCTTTGTGAAGTAGCGATACATTAAGAGATTTTCTTTCTATTAGCTTTTGATTTAACTTATCTTTTTATGCGATAAATTTAGACATACAATGATAATTGCTATTAAGAATGTATCCAAAATACATATGTATATATCACGTGCATTTACTATTTATATTTGAACTTCAAATACTTGTACTTATAATATCATGTTACTTTTTTTTATGTTTGACAAAATACCAACCTTTTCCTTTCCAATTTTCAGCAAATAACAAGGAGATTCCTTCAACGGTATCAGCATTATGATATACAGAATGGAGAGAGCTAAATGAATGTATAAAATACTGTAGTATGACATATATCCTCCTATGGAATAAGAAAATAACAATCCAATTAAATAACCATAATTAACAGATGAGGTCAATGACCCTCTGATTGAGTCTTGGGCTATTTCTGATATGTAAATAGAAGAAACAGATTGACCGGCTGCACTGAGACCAGATAAAGCAAGCGCGAAGAGAACCACGTAATAAGACTTGGTGACGGAAATTAATGCCCATGTTATCTGAAAAAAATACATTTAATATAACTGATGAAAGTATTATGATAATAAGTGTATTTAAACAATTTAGTGATTTACGAAATATGGTGCAATAGTCAGTAAAGGGTAATTAGTGGAATTAATTCATTATTATATATTTTTTTCTGAACATGATAAGTTTAAACTGTTATAAATAGCTACTGATTATTTTTATTATTTTCAATTACTTGCTTACATTTTTTAAATTATTTTGAGCTAAAACTACTAAGTTAAGAGTTGAAAACATTCAAATGCATTGCAAACGCAGCAACAATACTTGTTTAAGGGTCATCAAGTTTACAACATTCTAGAAAGAAAACTCCAACTAATATTATTGTGAAAAGTAGCACTTACGACGTAGGGTAGTCCAACAAGCATAGCTGAATACTTCCTTCCAAATTTGTCAGCCATATAAGCTGTTAAGGGCGTCCCTAACAAAGCTCCAACATTTATAATACTTCCCAACATAGACATTTGATTGGTACTAATAGGAGCATCTAAATAAGTCTCATTTGACAAATATATTTGGAAGGTATAAGACGGCCAGGCGAATACAAAACCGGTCAACGATGTCAGAAAACAAACTGTAATTTTATACAAATGATTTTTATAATATATGTTCAAAAAGAATTGATAATAATAAGATATTCTCTCTTAAAACACTCACTAATTAACGTTGAACATCCTTGGATTAAAAATGCTGTTGGCTTTACTTTTTCACTCATTATGGTTATGAATTTATTTCATAAAATATATTGCAATGTCTATAAATGATCGTTGTATGATGCCTTTTTCTTATGTTTTATTTGATGACTTCTAATTTATTGTTCACCACTATATGGTATATCTTACTAGTGAGTGTATTGTTATATCGCGAAAGTATTTAGCATCTTTGTTCTTGTCTTATCAAGAAAACTGTTTGTTTCAATGCTTACAAATTGACGCATGCTTAGTTGTATATTTCGACAGGGGTAACAATTTCTTAAATTTAGTTCACACATACATTTTTTCTTGTTTGACAACCTAAATAACTTTTTGATTTATTATGTTCTCTTTAATAAAAGTATCTGAAAAGACAGTTTTGAATTCTGCTGTTAATAATCCCTTTAAACTAAAGTCTGATATATTTTTCATTCTTTTATATAATTCTTTCGTACCCTACTAAATCATATAATTATTGTTTAATTAATAAGTTGACTATAATAGATAAATTAGCATATCAAACACTATTCTTATCTTACTTAAATATTATAGGAACTTACAATGTTTAAATATTGTGTAATTTAAGATGATTTATCATAATATAAAAAATAAATATAGTTGCATTTATAGTTGTATGTCGAATTAAATTTTGAGTAAGACTGAAATGTTAACTCGTGATAAGTATTAATTATTTAAATGAAACTCATATTTTTCGGATATATTGCGCGTGATTTTTTTTTGTAAAACTATATACTCTCGACGTTTCGGTCACTTTTCAGGAACCGTGATGACGGGCAGATTGGATGTCAAATTAATTAATACGAAATTTTCTTATAAAATATTTGACACAAGCTAATGGTGGAGTAATTTTTTTATATTCTTAGTAAAATTTATATCTTTTTAAGTAAAACGTGCACGCAATTTCTGATATATACTATATAGTCTGATAGAGCTTCTAAACATATTTCTTTGTATGTATTGCTACAAATATTTTTTCATGATCACATGCTTATTATATCGTAGTCTTAGTCACTTCGTGTTCATCTCAAAGTTAATTTAATATTTATGATGATTTTCAATTTTTCTCAAAGCATTATATTTGTTACTATATAAAGTCATTGACTTCGCTCGTCATTTTATTTACTTTTTATTAGATTTCCTGATAACCCCTTAATCAGATTCTCAAAAATATCTCAAAACACTGCATTTATGACTTAAAAAAAACCTAAAATCGGTCTAGCAGTTTCAGTGATAAGCTGGAACAAATACAAACAGGCAGATATTAATATAGTAAACATAATAAAACACAAATAGACACTTTAAATTTATTTAATGTTGGGATAAAATTATCATTAAAGTAAACACAAAAAAAATGGAGTTAATTGAGAGAAAGAAAAGGTACTTAATATAAGCAGGACTTAACTGTTTATATATTATTTGAATATTTTTTTAAAGCTGACTTAGGAAACTGTTGTATTCGTCTCTATTAATTTTTTATAACTATAAAATAAATCTACCTCAGTTCATCTTTTTTATTATGAAGTCTTCTTCTACTACCCGGCAATTTCCCAGCTACAGCCAGGGTCTGCCTTACATGTTGTGAATAATAGTTTTTGGCTATTAGTTTTTACGACCGGCCGCCTGCCTGACATCAACCCTCTTTTGGGAATCAACATTAATCAGTGATGTCTAAATACTCTTAGAAAGTACATATGACTCGGAAAAATCACATTGGTACTTGCCGGGCCAGGATCGAACCCGCGCTCTCGGCGACGAGAGGCGGGCCCTTTAACCACTGAGCCACCACTGACTTAATCTTTTTTATTATGAAGTCTAAAATTTAAAAATAATGTTTATAACTTCAATTACAATTGCCTTGAGCAAATTATTGTCACTTTCGTTGGTGTACAGTTTAATTATTATTATTTAATCGCCTGATGTTAATAACAAGCAATTTCACACATTAATACTTTTGCATATACTTTCTCTATTTTATTATTAACTTAAGAGTTTGTTATAATTTTCATAATCGCTTTGCAGAAAAGTTTATAGCATTTTTTAAAAATAATCTGGTGATAAAATTTTGCTGAATGTATCATTTATTTTTAATAAATTAAAATTTTTAACGAAATAATAGAAGTTAATTATGGAAAGAAATATAGTTTTGCAATATACTTTAAAAAATTTTAAAGATTTGGGCTAATTTTCAAAATTATCAAAATTAGGACAATAAAATGAAATAGACCATATAAATCATGTATTTTATTGAGAATTAACTTAATTTATATTTACAGTCATAAATAAAACATTATTTAAAATGTGTTCGTTATAAATATTTAAAATGTTGAATAATATTAATGATTATAATTAACATAAAAAAGCTATGCCTTTAAGAAAAAATCGCAGAAGACAACATGTTAACAATTATTAATTATTATCAATTACTCATAAATATGTAGGTATCTACAAAATATTAGAATTTATAAGGACGTTTAACTCTTATTAATACTGACCTACATTAACATTAAAAATATTATTAAAATAATAATATCAACAATCAAACCTACGATATTTATAATTTAAGTGCAAAAATATAGCCAGAGACAGTAATTGTAATGATCACGCGAATTTCGCTGAACCGCGTGATCTGTGCCAACAATGAGTGACTAATAAACTGCTTAATAGGGATCCAGCAAGAACTAGAGCACCTCCCCATAGCGCTGCTGTAGATGAAATGCATATGCCAGGTTCATTAGGTAAATCTTCAGCGAACACAACCCTCAAACCCTTCTCGATAGTAGTAACAGGTTCATAAGTTCTATTTCCTATGTGAATGACGTCTCGTCTTTTTCTTCTTGGCTCTGTACTGCCGGGACTTGGGCATACTTCGCAGTCTGTTTTGCATAATTCAACATCACATTGGATAATCAGGTCCATCTCGTCTGGGAATTTAAAAGCATTGAAGTATGCGTAAGCGATGATCGAAGCCCCAGTGTTTCCTGTCTCTCTCGTTTTCTGGAAGGCTCCAAATAATTTCGGTTTAAGCACGCAGCCGTTTGAGTCGGTCAATGGCACGACATTGGTATTGCTTGAATCGCGAGCGATGCATTCCCTAACTAAAATATCAAATCCTGCATCACCGGTTACTGATACTACTAAAGTCATAATTTCTCCGATCTTTATCAGTCCGTTTGCTTCGGGAGCAAAAGGTCCTCTTCCCGTCTGGATATCCAATCGAGCCATAGCAGTATCACCGCTGAAGTTACTTGTTATCTGATTCAACATACCGACGCTCAAAGATGACACTAGCTGTTTAGTTAAATTTCCTTCCCAAAGGCATCTTACGCGCCGAATGTGATCCCACACTTCTTGAATCCCTGGTTCGTTTTGGAGCACCAAAACGTTTTCAAGATACGCTTGACCTTCGTTTTCAAAATCGCTAAAGAATCTTGTTCCACATTTATTTAGATTAACTGTAAACGAGTATTTAATTTGGTTTGAGTTCTCTTTAACGTAAATGCACTCGGAGTCTTTGTAGTGGTCTTGAGAATAAATGATACCGTTGTAGGCCTTGTTGAACTCAATGTTAATGGTCATCATTTGCTTACCACAATCGACGGTGATGTCATGTATATGGGGTGGATGACGGTCATCGTCGTCTGGATTTATGGGAATCTGGGGTCCATTATCATTATCTCCAGGCTGATCTGGTCTTTGTGGCTGGTCAGGTAATCCTGAATCTTCATTGGGTTGACTAGGTTGATAAGAAGGAGAAGTTTGCTCAGGTTGCGACGGCTGGCTTGGTTTGTAACTAGGTTGACTTGGTTCATAACTGGGTTCTGAAGATTCACTTTGGTCGTACGATGATTGTGTGGGTTGACTGGGTTGGTAAGAAGAAGGTTGTGATGGCTCACTGGGCCGGTTTGGTTGGCTGGGTTCATATGAAGATTGAGTAGGCTGGCTCGGCTGATAGGATGAATAGCTTGGTTGACTCGGCTGGTAAGGTGATTGACTAGGTTCTAATGGTAGTTGGTCAGTTTGGCTAGGTAGGAATGGGGAACTAGGTTGACTCGGGCCTTCGCTATATGAAGGTGTCGGCCGACTACCAGGAACGGGGTAACCTGTCACTGGTGGGAGATAAGAAGCTGGTTCAAACGGCCTCGGCTTTTCGGGTTTTCCTCCAAAGTATTGTCGAGCTGTAACAGATTTTTTTATTACATAAAAAGGTATCATACATGGATAGAATTATTGTAACGAGAGCATAATACTGTTTGTGTTTTTGTGTCGTGTCCTCTCAATCCCAGCGTGAAAGCATGGTTCTGCGTGTATATAATTGAGTATTGTGCTTTCTTAATATTATTTACAAATGCAATTAAACCGTAACAATTATACAAATGTAGTTAACACATTAATTAGTACCTAGATAATGGAGTTCATGTTATATTTGACATTATTTAAGTCGTGTGGCGGTACTGAAATTATTTATTGTGTGACGAACAATTCGTCTAACTTTTCTTATTGTATAAGAGACCAAAAACTCTGCTATAATGAACATAAATTATATTCTCTTCTTATGTTTAACGTAAAAAGATAACTAAATAAGTTTAAAGACTCCTTCCGTCTGACCTCTCCTATTTTTCTGTTGGTAGAATCCTTGAATCCACTGAAGGAGATTGGTGACCATTTCATCGGTATCTGGCTGGCCTGGCTGGAGATCGGCTGGAAAGCACTTCATCATCAGAAGTCAATCGAGTTTTATACGGCCTTCACCAAGATAGATCTCATTAGAGAGAAGACAATACACCCTTACGATTAATCCTTTTATCACCCAGATGAACCAAGAACGATTTTCCATACGTCATAAGTTAGTTGATAATTTCCACTTCCAGAACAACCATTTCTAAGAAGGAAAACATGCAAATTCCAAAAAGATACATGCATTATCCCAATCTACTAATCATATATTTCTATCGGGCAGCTACCCAATAATATAATAATATATTTGATATGTAAATAGTCGAAGAAAAATAATTACTGAAAAACTAAGAAACAACTAAGAAATATGATAGTAATAGTCATATTTTCATAATGAAGTAGATTTTGTTACATGTTTCATAGAAATATAAATAAAAAGATTACAAAGAAATCACTAGCAAGATGAAATAAACTTCTCTCGTTTTAAGGTCTCATGCAAGAAATAAATTAATATACATATATAAAATAGATATTTACATCTCTTTACATTCATTTTCACAAAATCACGTAATTCAAATATATTTTATATTATAATAACGATTAAGGACTTATGTTAATTTTATATGGGAAGCATTTGGAAAGGGTGGGTTGCGTGTGTCAGCGTTGAAATGCAAGATTCCATTTATCATCACTTAATTTTGTTTAAGTAAAATCTTAAAAGGTGTATTTTGAATTTTTTCCCATTACAAGATAACGTGTTTTATATAAATTAATCTATGTAATTAATAAAAAAAAACTCACTTCAAATTGAGATTTAGAAAAAAATAATTACGTAGTTACACATTTAATAATAATTAGAAAGTGTAATAGATATCAAATTGGATTCGTCATATAATGATATGAGAGATCTATGTGTTTTAATTTAAATAAAAGTAAGCTTTTCGGATACTACGCGTTTTATATTATGAATTTTGTAAGTACATAATTTCGGCGTTTGTATCTGACACTTTCATCTCGTCTGTCCGTGATCACGGTTGCTGCAAATGGATCGTCGGGAGTATGTAGTATTAAAATAGTAAAAAAGCGTAGTATCCGAAAACAATATAACGTTCATATAAATAGCTCATACTTATAACAAAGTTAACCCTTATATAAAGATCTCATTAGGAATCTTGCATTTTGTTTATAATAACCACTATAACCAATATGTAGGTATAGTGTACGTACCGATCCTAGGTTTTTTCGGGTCTGTAAAAATTGTTTTATTTAGTACATGTTATCAAATAATATACATTTAAATATAAGTATTAGTGTCAGCTAAATAGATTATTTTGTATTTCAAATATGTCACTTTAAAAGTTTGTGAGACAGAGGTTTTGTATTATGAAAAATGTAAATAAACTTATGTATATAAAATTATAATTATTTTACACTTACGAAATCTAGAAGGAGTGTCTATAGCTGCGGCACAAGCGATCACCGCTAATAGTGCCACCACACACCAACGACCCATCTGCAATGATTAAAAGTTATTAATGAAATAATAAAAATATATATAACACGTAAATACGCAACTATAGAAGAAATGTTAGTATGAATCATATTTTTATAGCAGCCTTAACAATCATTTATTGAAATAAAAAAGAGACTTGCTATTTTCATTAAATAATATCTTACCTGGAGTAGATAGGCTATCTATAATAATTTTTAAGCTATACTTCAAGCTTCTTATATATTAAGTCTCAATCGAAAAATCCTTATAAGGCCATATGTTAATAGGAATCTGAGAATATCTATTTATATAATTAGTGTGATTGCATTTAATTTATTTGATACTAAACATAAAAATCCATTTTGCATTATGAGCAGATGTTAGGATTGCACAAGTCACAAGTAATTGTGCATTGTGGGTTCGATTCCCAGCGGCTGATTCATCTCACAATGGTCTTATCTTAAAACTATATGTTAACAGACGCCTTGACATAATAAATTGTTTTCTTGTCTTCCTTGTAATTAAATAACTTTATTGCATACTGGAGCTCCTTAGTTATAACAAACTTATTTATTAATATTGAACTGTCTCTTTTCTCTTAGTATTTTATGGTATAATATACTATTATTGTGTTCTATATATTGACGGTCGGTTGTAAGCTTTCGACTTAATCGTAATAGATAACAAAAAAATTGTAATAATATTTCGTTTGAGTGATAACTTTTTGTTAATCATTTAGCCAATACCATCATAGTGAGTAACTAGTTATAATTTCTAATGTAAAAAGCTGGATGTTTAATATACATAAGTATGTTACTTATAATTGATTTTAAATTTATTATTTTTTATTGATACGTCAAACAAAACTCTTCTACAGGCGAATTTTAGTTAAAAATACAAATTAATGATATCTATGTAAGACTTTCGCGAGTAACCATTTAAATAGAACTAATATATTCGGATTTAAATATTTTAAAGTATGTAATCCCGCAGTTTCGAATTTTATCGTCGGGAATATGTTGTTTAAAATAAAAGAAAATTCGTAATATATCCTAACATATGAGTTTTATTTTAGATATACATAAATTCATACCAAATCATCCTTAAAGCTAACTTAAATGCCAAAGTTTTGAAATAAAAAAAAAGCAAGTTGAAATTACTTCTCAAACGACTACTTTTTAACGTAATTCGCAATACTATAATTTTTGTAGTGCAAAAGTTACAAATCTAATATGAAATTGTTATTTCAATAGTTTGTCTTACCAAGATACTCTTAGAGATTGCAATGAAAGTTAATAGTGAAATGGCTTATTTATTAAATTGTACTAAAATTATATACAACGTTCTAAACAATTTTATATTCATGAAAATTATATTGTAATCTAGAAATCTTTACAGACATAGAAATTACAAGGTTTATACGTAGAAATCTTTACAGAAACGAAAATTACAAAATATTATACGTTCCCCGACCTATTGACCTCAGATATACGATTAAAAAGATAAATCGTAATAAATTAAACGTGTAATGAGCTCGTCTCGTCTGTGTGAACAATTATATCACAAAAAAATGCACAAAAGCAACTAATTCTGTTGATACAATTGTGAAAAACTTAGCTTAGTTACCTTATTTAAATTATCGTAATAATTCAAAGTATTATTTTTATTATTTGCAGATTAAGTTATTCGCACAAATGAACATCGTATTCTCGTAGTATCAACGTAAATAATATTTTCTATCTTATTTTATATGCAGGGTGACTGGTGAATTACTATCAATATTTAAGGAGAATACTCGGTACATGATTCTCATTCGAATTATGTAAAAAAAATAGGCACTTAATTTTTGACAAAATTTCCGTATAAATAAATAAAGTGTTGACACGCTCCAAGTGTTCCAAGTGTGGACGCGTGCGGCGGCGTGCTGATACAACACTACGCCGCCGCACGCGTATGTGTGTGTGTGAGTGTATACCTAATCTGTAGGGTATGCACACGATGCGTAATTAATTACATAACTTTTGGTTAACTTTACTTAGAAGTTTATTAATATTTATGTTATATTAATTTTTATTTTGTCATATATGATCGTCAAATATCACGTCCTCAAGTATCGATAGTAATTCACCAGTCACCCTGTATATTAACCTTTTTCTTGACAAAATGAAACGCCGTGTGTGATTAGAAAAACAATTTTTGATGAGTTACGTTTCATAATATAATGACATAGAATTATACAGTCATTATTTGTATAATTTCGGCGTAACCTATGATGTAATGATATAAGGCCTGTCGCTGACGGGCGGTTGAAACGTCGCGTTTTAAAAACGTCACAAAATAGTTTATGGAAAACGAAATTACGTGAGCCTGATTATTTTACATATAATATAATGATTTTATTTAAGATAAGTATACATTTCAAATAGAAAACAAAGGAATGATATATATATATTGAAAATCGATTTTAGATTTCACACGTACTATATGTATGGGGAAATACCTATTATAGTACTATCGGATATATTCGAAAACATGATATATATATTGTAACAGAACGACCGCTATTTGAAACTCTAACATTACACAACATTACTTTGTAACATGGAAAAGTGCAAAATTTATGTAATTCGTCGTGTCAAATCATCTTCACCTTTAAAGGGCTTGCAGCACTAACGAAAGTATTCACGAGAAGAAATAAGCATTAATAACATACAATACAATATAGTAAAAACTAAAGAAGTATAAATTAACTTAAACATAAGTATAACTAACTTTAAGACTAGCTAGAGTGTCCTTTTCAATTATATATCTTCCATAATAGAAACAAAGAACCAATTAATAAAGCCTATATTTGTTTATTATATGTAGTTTATGTTCAACCGACTTTGTACTCACGAGACACATCTTTGGAGCTTTCACCTTGTTATGCCCCAGCTTCCGAGTTACAGTTAGGACATTATATAACTTTCTTTAGTATTACACCAAATTTGAACTATCAAAGGTTAGAATGAATAGACTATATTGGATTATATAAAATACTTATACATTTACGGTACATTAAAAATGATGATTAATTTAAGAGAAATTGAAGAGGATGAGATCTTTTTAGGAATTGACCTTTTGGACTTTGGTGTTTTAGAAATGTCATTTTTTTTATTGCAACTGTCAAATGATTTGACATTCTCCTATAAACTACTTTTCTTCGATATTGGCGAAATCTATAAGGAAACGTCACTAACTGAAGAAGCAGAAGAAATACTTTTCTTAATAACCCGAAATATTGAATAGTAAGTATATACATATATATTTTTCAAAGCGTTATCTTCTACTGAGGGAAGCTTAGCATAAAAACACGACGCAATCCTTCATTTAGAACTGACGTCACAAACTTGTATTGATAACAGAGTATTGTCTAACAAATAAAAACGATAACATGGCAACAATATGCCACGATTCCAGTGCGAATGGAGCCATAACATAAAAAAGCCCATAGTAATGATATCATTGCATTCATGTATTTCAATTAAAACCTAGAACTATTAAATTCATTA